TCACCACAACACACCATAATTCGTACATCTTTTGTTCTTTTCATCATGGACTACACAGTCTGTGACCTACAAACACTTTCAAAGAAATGGGAACCAGTGATGAAAACCAAAGAAAACTACATAGCTAGCAGCAAGAAGGTACGGTGACTGACCAACAGTCCTGGTTCGTGTGGGACTCTCCTAGTTTTAAAATGGAAAATCCTGTAGTTCTGGGCACAAGAGGATGGTTGGTCACTCTAGATGAAAGCGAACAAAAGTCAGTGTCAGCTAAATGCCAAACAAAAAAGGACATACATACAGAGAATGTGGTAACTTCTGGTGAATTTGTTTGAAAAGGACTCATTCATTTATTCTTTCAATACATCAGTATTATAATACTACTGTCCATAAGGCACTGTGTTAGGTGCTGTGTTCCTGACCCTACAGATCCCATTCCACCATAGCAAAAGGTAAAAGTGACTCTACAGTGAGCTTGGTAGACATAGACCCATGCTTATATACTCAGGGACACCTGGAAGAGATGTAAAAAAAAGAAACATCTCACATAGGAAGTTTTCAATGCATCAGGATCAGGACTCAAATAATTCCCTTCTCTTTTTCTTCAATGTACCAAAGGGAGTACATTGTTGAGAAGGATTGGTTGCAAATTTCCAAAAAGGAGGGTAAAATAATTAACGAGTCAAGGTGTCAGGAGAGACAGAAGGTAAGGGGAGTCCTTCAGTAAGTGGGGAAATTGATTTGTTTTGTGTCCTCATCTCTCCAGGGCCATGATCATGTCCTTTGCTGGCCGTAAACCAGTGCTGACCTCAGTTATAGTGTAATCTTCAAGGCTAATTTACGCAAAACTTCAAAAATGGTAAACATCCTCATGAAGACTAATGATGACATATTTTAGGAGTGCATAATAGTAGGTATAGAGAAAAAACTTCAGGGTAAAATGTTATTGCTGTTCTTCTTGCTAAAGGGCATACTCCTTAAGAACCAAAGTTAATTATCAGTCCTTTGACCTATGAGGAAAACAAATTTCATGGACTCCCCTAAAGATTCCTATATAGTACAAATAAAATGCCAAAATATTTTGGGAGCACATTTTGGAGCACTGGATGTGTCAATAAAATAATGTGTAAATTGCCAAATGTGATCTAGGAACTCCCTGCAAACATCAGATTAGGCTCTATTCTCTATCTGAATACTGACTTTGCTTTGCTTTGTAACTCCTGTCTTCACTAATAATGCCTTTTCCCCCCTCTTGTGTGCATCCTAGCCTATATTCTCTTTCATCATTCTACAGTGGTCAATGTGGTTATTGTACAGCTTCACTTTCAATGAAAGCTGAGGGAAAAGAAGCTTCATAACCTGCCCTCCCCCCATACATAAAAGAAGCTATTTAAAAAATAAAAGCAGCAAGCTACTAAATTTGACTCATTCAAATCTTGGTAATTAACATGTATAGTATTTTATGAGAGAGACAGAGAGAGAAAGAAAAAAATTAGCAGAAATGGAGGAAAACATATTACATCCTAAATACCACCAAATTGCCAAAATACACATTTGGGTAGTAATCTCCAGAGAACTCTCTGGAGGCACGGCATCTATCATGCTGATTTCCCTGAATAATATTACAGGATAGCCCTGTGTACTTCTCTTGGTGGTGGTGGTGGTGGGGTGTGTGTGTGTGTGTGTGTGTGTGTAAAGAATTATCATATGGAACCTCACAAGTCTCTAAAACCTTTCTGCAATTATCCCTCATAGGATTACCACACTGATGAGTTTGTTCAACAGGAGCTGTTGTGACTTCCTAATTTAACTCCTATAGAGATGATTTGTATCGAAGATAAAACACTATATTTGAACTCAATTCCCACCTTATCCCTGAGCTTATGCTACCAAGCAATTCTTATAATGTTTGGAGTTCTATTAGGCTATAGAGAAAAATCTAGGGTTTCAGCTAAACCCTTTAATCCCCAGGCCTATGTAAAGGACTGTCTCAAGGTAGTCGCTAGCCCATGGGTTCTCAAAATATGGTCTGAAGACCCCTGGAGGAGTCCCTGAGGCCTTTTTAGTGGGTCTGAAGATTAAAAATTATTTTGTATAATAACACCAAGATGAGTTACATTCAATTAAGCATTTTTCTTTTGAAATTAAGCAGACTTTTGGAAACCCAGATGTGCATAGCCCTGTAGTAGGCTAAGTGGAAGTTACAAAGGCAATAGTAGCTTTTTCTCCCCCTCTCATTATCTCGTGAGGAGACAGAGGACTTTTCCAGAGGCTACATGACATATGGTTATGTCATCTCTCTGATAGCTGAGGGATGTGTGCTTCTGCGTTCTTGAGTTTTAAATATTTCCCAGTCTTAATACCTAAGACAATTAGTATCAATAGATAGAACCCACACCCAAGAGCTCCTTGGGGCCTTCAATAACTTTTAAGAGTGTTAAGGTGTCCTAAGACCAAACATTTTGCAAATTGTTGCTTTATCAGGATTTTTGTTATTTCTAGAATGCATTTCTTTCTAACTGATCTACTTGGGGAAAAAAAAAAATCACTACCTCATGGCAATTATTGCTTTCCTATCAATATGGAGATTATATTTCTGAAGGAGATTGACCAAAATTATATTAAAAGGTTTAAATAAAACAAGTGGATCCATGTTATAACATGAGGAAGAGAGCTGCCCCACTAGAAGTCTGACATTAGATAGCTCAGAGTCCCCCCTCTCTAACAAGTCTCCCCTGCTAGAGAAAGGGACAGCTTCTGTTTTGTGGGATGGGATAAGGAGACAATCTGAAGTAGAGTTTGACACAATATTAAATATTATTCTGCCCATATGAAATTCTGGTAGCCGGGGTGCCAGGTGTATTCATAATCCCAATGCTGTCAATTTTAAGCCTGAAGCCCCAAGAGGCGAGCAGTGTTTAATACGTCATCCCTTGTTAAATAGCAGCCACAGAGTTGGCGGTAGCCAGTGAAGCATTCCCTGCCATGTAGGACACGCCAGTTGTCTATAAATAGGACCTGTGAATGGGCAAAAAAAAAGAGAAAACACTATCAGAAGAAGGACAGACCAAAGGAACCCTAAGTCAGAAGAGATCATTTAAAAGACAAGCTTTAGGTTGTTCTCTGGTTACATTAAATGAGGTATTTTTCTTTTGAAATTAAACAAACGTTTGGAAACTAAGATGTGTATAGCCCTGTAGTAGGCTAAATGGAAGTTACAGAGGCAACAGTAGGTAATAGGCCCTGCAGTGGAAGAGCTTCTGTTTCTCAAGTAATTGTTCTCTTATCAAAGCAAATCAGATAATTGGTTTCTTTCTTTTTCTTTAATTCTTATTCTACCCTTTCTCAAAGGGTTAAATTATCTCATGACATTTTTTGCTAAGCTGAAGGTATTTTTCATCCAGAGGAAATACCAAAATAAAAACTATGGAATCATGAAGCTGGAAGGACCCTTGGGGGTCATCCAGTTAAACCCCCTCACCATACAAATAGAGTTACTGATGCCTTAGAGATGGGATGAGGCTTGCTTCCAGGGCATTCAGTGAGTGAGCCGCAGGACCATGACCAACACCAAGGACTCTTTTCTCTTTTTCCTTTGCAACATTGTGACTCACATATTAAGTAAGTACCCGTTCTTCACTGCTTCATTATTACAAGCTTGCTTGACATCTTTAGAGATTAGGACCCACCCTGCCAGGCTTTAGTTTAACCCAAAACTCATTCTCAGGTCTCCTCAACTCTATCGTTAGAGTCCGGTGTGCTGTATACCAGCGATGGACGACATCATAAGGAACGGTATTGATGACAGCCCGGTCATAGTTGTTGTACCTAACATGGAATCATGAGAAGAAAGATCTCAAACACATGTTAAAGACATCTTTTGTTTATTGAACAATTTTATATAAGGCTTCCCCTATGTTCAATACTTGTCCCAGAGACGAAGTGACAATAAGTCAATATTCTCTCAGGAATATCACATTGGAGTGAGGAGTTCCACTGCCTGTTGACCGTATTTTGTTTTTCTTTGAATAATCGAAGGGTACGGGATAGAAGTTAAGTTCCAACTGGTTTCTCTCATCTTATGATATGGTATTTTAAGTCTTTACTGGCCAAAGTTCATGGAAGCACTGGGGAAAGCTCTGAGCTTTCTCCTCACCAAACTGAGGTGGGGTGGACAAGAGAGGTTATACTAACAAAGCTTTCCTTTTAACAGGATGACTTACAACTTCTCAGGTGTCTCCCTTTGTGGGAGGAATCCCAGCTATAGCCTAGTGGACCATTCACCCAGGGATCTTCAATCATTCATTCAACCCTAACATTTATAGGCGCACCGGCTACATGTGGAGGAGGTAGCCAGGGGCTAGATCATGTATATATTGCCATGCAGGCCATGGTAAGGACTTTGGATTTTATTCTGAGTACCATGGGAAGCCACTGAAAAACCTTGCCTAAGATAATGGGTTTCTGTTTTGCCTAAGGCAAATTAACTTTTTACTGAAGTATACTATACATTACGGGAAAGTACACAAATCGTAAGCCTGATGAATTTTCATGATGTAATCACATCCATATCACTAGCACCCAGGTCAATAAACAGATCATTACCAGAACCCCAGAACCCTTCCTTATGCTCCTTTCCAGTAACGCCACTCCCCCAACCCAAGGGTAACCACCATCCTGACTTCTATCACCAAAGATTAGTTTTGCCTGTTTATATAAAACTTTATATAAATGCAATCACAATATGTATTCATTTGTGTCTGGCTGCTTTTTCATTTAATATTATGTTTAGGAGTTTCATCATTGTTTAGCAATAGTTTATTGGTGCTATACAGAAGTTGATTGCGTGATCACACCACAATTTATTTATCCATTCTACCGTTGATGGACATATGAGTAATTTCCAGTTTGGAACTACTACAAACAGTGCTGTTATGAACATTCTATTACATGTCTTTGGTGAACAAATATATTCACTCCTGTTTGAAATAAACTTAAGAATGGAACTTATGGATCATAAGGTATGTGTATGCTCAGATTTACTAGATACTGCCAAATATATTCTTTCCAAAGATAAATTAACATCCAATGGTGTCATTTTTGGACATCTCAGGCAATATTCCTTAGTGTTATATAGTACATGGCACAATCAGAGCCGATATTCTTAGTTTTGTTGCGTATAAAATGAGCATAATAACATCTGCCTAGCTGATCTCACAGGGCTACTGCAAGAATCAAATGAAAAAATAGGCCAGGTGTGATGGCTCACACCTGTAATCCCAGCACTTTGGGAGGCCGAAGTGGGCAGATCACCTGAAGTCAGGAGTTCAAGACCAGTCTGGCCAACATGGCGAAACCCCATCGCTACTAAAAATACAAAAAACAAAACAAAACAAAACAACAACAACAACAACAAAAAACATTAGCCAGGCGCGGTGGCACGTGCCTGTAGTCTGTAGTCCCA